CTCGCCCCGACGGCTCCCGTTTCCCTCCTCACGGGCGGCCACGGGCAGTCGGCAGCCTGCGGGGAGCTCCGGGGGCGGTCGTGTCGACGGCCGGGCGAAGCAGCGATGGAAGGGTTGTGTCCGGCCACCTGGAGACTGTAAATTGAGTTGGTTTGTAAAGGGGAGCATGGTGCGCCAAAACCTAAAATATTTCGTTATTTGTAGTCCTGCGAAACTTTGACCTTGGGTTGGGATATTGTCGGTAAAAGCTGAATAGAAACCAGTTGCCTGGCTGAGGCTGTCGTGCATCGAAGCGGATCAGACCTGTGGTGGGGGTTGTTGGGTTGTGTAGCGTCATTCACTGCTTAAATGGAGGTAGAAGGCATGTTCAACTTCATTGACTGTGATAAGAGTGGGTTTTTTTGTCACCCATGTTTAAGGAAACAAGAAAATCTCTTGGAAGGTGAATCATTAATCACTAAATCATGCAGAGCCATGTGTAGTTGCGCCACGCTTCAGGTGAAAACTGGGCTTTGTCCAGCAGCTTGAGATTAAAACTCCTAAGGCTTAGGAGGAGTTATACTTAGGGGGAGTTATGGTTTTGTTTGGGGGGATTTTTTTAACACTATTTCATCATCATATTTGCACAATTTTAAAATTAAATACAATAAGACGAGGATCTGATCAAAACTGAAGAAACCTTATTAAAGGGTCTTTCACCTGCGTGGAATCGCAAGCAAATTATTTTATCAGCTTGAAAACGAGTGCTGAATACTAACGCAGTGTCAGCAAATGAGATCATGTATGTATTTGTATACATTTGTCTTCCCTAAATGAATTATTGCCATGCCACAGAAGAAAGAGAATTTAAGGTAGTCCCGTGTCCTCTTTCCCCTACACTTGCCCATTTTATACCCCCAATGCCATCTGACTTTCTGTGGGTAAGTTCAAAGTTTAATGTGCTTAATAGCTGATGAAAAATGAAGTTACTATTTTACTACTTTCATTTTTCAAAAATAGTTATGGTTTCTGTTCTATAGAGGGAAGCTTAGTGATATTTCCCATATTGAATAGTTCAGTGTGTGAGATAACAAGACTTAAGCCCTAGTTTGGGTGAACATAAGCACTTAATTTAACTTCAGGTATTTACCTGCTGTCTGATCTTAAAAAGCTTCATCGTGATCTGTTTCCTGCTATGTAAAATGAGGAGGATGCATTTGCCATCTGAGAATGGAGGAGGAAAAAAAAGTTCAGAAATTAAGAATTCAAATTAATCAGCTTTAGTTACATTTGTAGAAATCACTAGGATCTTATGTTTTCCAAAGAGATTTTGACATTTCTCGGAAATGCTCAACTACTTATTATATGAACACAGGAAATTGTCTTGTAATATTCTAGTACTCCTTAGAACAGAAAACAGAATTAAGCACAGAAGAGTATACTTTCCAATTTAAATAATAAAAAAAATTTAGAAAAGCCATCATCCTCATTAGGAAAAACTTCTTCATATGTTATTTTAATATACAGAACTTCCATCTTCTGCAGTTATCTGGATCTAAGTACTGAAATTAATAGCTGATATAGCACTTAATTTTGCTTGTGGCAGTAGCTGCAATCTTACAAGCTTATCTCTATTAAGGGACACAGTCCTGAAGGGCAAAGGAGTCCAGGAAGGCTGGACATTCTTCAAGAAGGAAATCGTAAAGGCACATGAGCAGGCCATTCCCATGTGCCAAAAGATGAACCAGTGGGGAAGACAGTCCTGGCTGAACAGAGAGCTTTGGCTGGAACTCAGGAAAAAAAAAATGAGAGTTTATGGTCTTTGGAAGAAGGGGCAGGCAACTCAGGAGGAGTTGTGAGGATGTTGTGAGGTTATGCAGGGAGAAAATTAGAAGGGCCAAAGCCCAACTAGAACTTAATCTGGCTACTGCCGTAAAAGACAATAAAAATTGTTTCTATAAATACATTAGCAACAAAAGGAGGGCTAAGGAGAATCTCCGTGCTTTATTGGATGCGGAGGGAAACATAGTGGCAAAGGAGGAGGAAAAGGGTGATGTACTTAATGCCTTTTTTGCCTCATTCTTTAATAGCAGCCCCCTGAGCTCAAGACAGGGACGGGGAGCAGAATGAAGCCCCCATGATCCAGCGGGAAATGGTTAGCGACCTGCTACACCACTTAGACACACAAGTCTATGGGGCCATATGGGATCCACCCAAGGGTACTGAGGGGGCTGGTGCCACTTTCCATCATTTATCAGCAGTCCTGGCTAACCAGGAAGGTCCCATTTGACTGGAGGTTAGCAAATGTGATGCCCATCTACAAGAAGGGCCAGAAGGAGGATCCAGGGAACCACAGGCCTATCAGCCTGACCTCCCCTGCCGGGGAAGGTTATGGAGCAGATCATCTTGAGTGCCATTGCGTGGCACGTACAGGACAACCAGGGGATCAGGCCCCGTCAGCATGGGTTTATGAAAGGCAGGTCCTGCTTAACTAGCCTGATCTCCTTCTATGACAAGGTGACCTGCTTAGTGGATGAGGGAAAGGCTGTGGATGTTGTCTACCTGCACTTTAGTAAAGCCTTTGACACCGTTTCCCACAGCATTCTCCTGGAGACACTGGCTGCTCATGGCTTGAGCAGGCGCACTCTTTGCTGGGTAAAAAACTGTCTGGATGGCTGGGCCCAAAGAGTGGTGGTGAATGGAGTTAAATCCACTTGGCGGCCGGTCACAAGTGGTGTTCCCCAGGGCTCAGTATTGAGGCCAGTTCTGTTTAATATCTTTATCAACGATGTGGATGAGGAGATCAAGTGCACCCTCAGTAAGTTTGCAGATGACACCAAGCTGGGTGGAAGTGTTGATCTGCTGGAGGGTAGGAAGGCTCTACAGAGGGATCTGGACAGGCTGGATCGATGGGCC